CGCTGAGTGTCCGCGCTGCGCGGCAGGGGGTGGTGGGGGTGGAGGCCGGGTGCGCCGCCCAGCGCGGGGTCGGGCCGGCTGCCCGCGGTGGGGGGCCCCTCTGAGGCTCCCCCTTTTCTCCCCTCTCTCTGAGGCAGCTGGGGTCTCGCTTCGCTGTATCGAGGACGAGCGCTGCCGAGGCCCCCGCCGGGTCCTGCCTGTGCAGTTGGCCACCCGCTGCGGTGGGCATCATCCTTCTCCCAACCGGGCCCGACGGAAAGCGACCCCAACGAGGGGCAGGTCTTCCTCAGCGAGAGCTGCGTGAAGGTAGGGACCGGGGAGGCAGCTCGGGTGCCACTGGGAGGGATTTCCAAACTGCCTGGCTTGCCCTGGGCATGTAGAGGAGACCAGTTTGTTCAGCGAGTCTTTTAATCCCCTTCCTTTTCCTCTTTACAGAGGCTGCTGGAGATCACAGAAGGCTCAGAGTTTCTCAGGCTGCAGGTGGAAGGAGGTGGCTGCTCTGGATTCCAGTACAAGTTTTCCTTGGACACAGTTATCAATCCAGATGACAGGTAATGGCAAAGGGGTGCAGTTAGTGGTGGTCAGGTGTTCTTTGCAAAGGTGACAAGAGGGGGGTATGTGACATGATAGTGTCTTGTATTGAAGGGAAGAAGCCTGTGAGAAGGAAGGTGCTCAGGCTGTGCTTCTCTGTCGGGTCTGCAGCACAGATAATGGTTAAATATGCTGCTTTTCTGCAGGGTGTTTGAACAAGGTGGTGCTCGTGTTGTCGTGGATGTGGACAGCCTGGCCTTCGTGAAAGGTTCCATGGTGGACTTCAGCCAAGAGCTGATTCGCAGCTCTTTCCAGGTGGTGAGCAATCCCCAGGCAGAGAAGGGTTGCTCATGTGGGACTTCCTTCTCTGTCAGATTCTGACTGGACTTCCCATGGATGGACTCTGTCTGCAGGCACTTCCTGGCAGTCTTCAGAGTGGTTTTGCTTGATCTTTTCTCATCTCCCTTACCCTGTAACACAGCTGTTACACATGACTCTAGCTCTGTGTGTGTCTGCACTGAGCCTATCTCCAAGACTTGTTGGCCTTCTCTTCAGAAACATGAAGTAGCCATGAGCATGCGCATGGGAGCATTTTCAGCACCTTGTGAACCACCAGCCAGGTGGTGCTGCCTTACCTACCCTGTTCTGAATGTGGAACCACTTAACTGCTTGTTTTTGCAAGAGATGGCTGTATATCTGTGTGTGTATCAAATTCTTACCAAAAAAAAGTCTTTGAGATGATTTGATATTGCTTGTGCAGTCCCATGTGGGTGGAATCTGGATTCTTTTAGGCTACTGTTGCCTATCACTTGTCTTCCAGCTGAATGGGACTTGTCTCTCCTGTACACCTCCCAGTGTTGCTGGCTCTCTGCTCCCCAACTCACAGTGGGCTTTTCCAGGTACTTTGCTGTTCTTTTACCCAGCAGGCTTCTCTCAGTCCTGGGAAGCTACAGTAGTTTTGCTGTCAGTCCCTGGGATGAAAGTTTTTACTTGTTCATAGTAAGTGAAGCTAATAGCTGAGGTAGGAAGAATTAATAGCCTTTGTTTTTAATCTTAAGAAAAGAAAAAGCTTGTCTAGATATAAAAAAAAAATTATAGCCTTCCATCCTCCAGTGCTATTTTAGGCTATTCCTAAACCTGGCTTGGAATTTTAGGTCACACAAACTCTCGGGTTTCATAGTGTGTCTGCTGCCTTCCCTTGCCAGCAGGAAAGGAAGTTCAGGTGACGCAGGCAGAGGAAGATCTGGAGTACTACTTAAGGGTCCTCAAGTCCTTTTGACTTGGTTGTCTGGGAATCTTTTTCATAACTTGCTTCACTGTTTAATCTCTTAACTTGTGCCTGGTTTGATGAAAGAATAAAATAGATCCTTTCCTCTCTGAAACTCCCATGGAGTGGGAAATCTAGAAGTTTCCAGAATAACATCCTTTTGATTACTTGTTTTCTGTAGTTTTTTATCTGCCACTAGATGTCTTTTAAATCAAAGTGATTCATCTGCTTCTGGGTAAAAGGAGAGATGGGGAAGCTATTTTTGTTCCAGCTCTTGTGTTTTATCTGATCATAACCAAATTGTCTAAGACTTGAGTCTTTCATGTAAGTGTGGGAGCACTGCATGACTTTGGTCTCAAGGAAACTGCTTATGGCAAGCCATGAGCTTTTTAAGACTCTGGGCCACAGGCATTTTTGTTATTAAGTTTCCAAAATGCCTTTCTAAACTAACCAGCAGTGCATACATAGATTTCTAGTGCCCAGAGACTTGATAGCCAGTTAGTTTGTTTCGTCCACAGATATTACGGGAGTTCATGCGATCTGCTCTGACTTTGTCACGTGGAGAATGTGGACAGGATTTAGAGCAGTAATTCTTTTGGTTTAGCCCTTTCCATTTTCTTCAGTCAGCAAGTTCTACCTAGTTATATTGCTATCAGAAGGTGATGGATGTTGTACTGTCCCATTTGTAAAAGAGACTAAAAGGATGTGATTAAAAGACTTGTCTAAACCCCTGCAGGATGTTTTGGCCCTACCCTTATGCTCCCAGGTCTTGAATGTGATGTCAGCCAGAGCTGACTTTGAAAAGTGTAAGACCTAAAAGCTTGTGTGGCTGGAAGACATTAGATATCCCAGCTGAAAGAAATTGAGGTTAAGTGAGCAATTAAAGTTGGCAGGGTGAATTGCTTTCTGAATCAGGAAGTACACATCTGTTCTTGATCCATTTCACAGAGTCTGACCTTGGTCAAGTCTCTTCTGGGATCTTTTATAGGAAATAAAAAGTGCAGCACTAGTGCTGGGGAAGTAGCAAACCAGCAGCTACCAAGGCTTTTTTTCTGTAAAGCCTGCCGTCAGCCCCTGTAAGCACGCAGCCTTTATCTTGGATTACTGTTCTTACTAAATGCTTACTAAGTGCTGTGTCTGACCTAGATGGGTTCCACCCGCCTTCACTCACTCCACACTGATGAAGTATATCAAGCAAATGCTGTCCATGTGGCGTGCCACCCCTTTCAGAGAATCTGCCTCTCCCTCCCAGGCACTATACAGAGGATGAGGCTTCGGGTCACCAGTGTCACAGGCAGTGTTGCTGGGCTGGCAGGGAAGCTTGCATTGTGACTTGCTCTGCCTGTGGTTCTGGCAGTACTGCTCTAACTGCACTAGGTGGACCCCTTACTCCTTGGCAGCTGCTGTGCTGGACGTATGCAGTTATTTCAACTTCTGTCTGGGGTGAGCTTGGATCTGCTCCATGCAGGACCTAGGCAAGAGCAAAAGTTTCTTTGCAGCTGCCTGTTTTGGAGGCAGGCTGGAGATGAGTTCATCTGGTATTGCAGCAGTGTGGTCTCTAGATCAGAGAAACTGCTAGGAGCTGGAAAGATTCTAGCTGTACTACGCATTGCTCTTGGCCTCCTAGTCCTGCTTCCTGGGCTCAGCTATAATCTGCTGGCCAAAGCCACTAGTCTTCCAGTTCCAGTAGGGAGTGGGTGCTCAGTCCTCCTGACTATTGAAGTCTGTCAGTACATCAGAAACTGAAAACTTCTGTCCATGTTAGAAAGTCAGCGAAGGGGGTCACATTAGCAGAGGGATGTGAAGGTGACCTTGGTAAATTTTGGCTGTGTAGGCAGAAAAGATCGTGACTCTATGGAAGAAAAAAAAGAAACTGTTAAGGTTTGTACACTGAATAGCCTTAGGGGCAAAGATGGCATCACACTGTAGGCTGTGGGGCAAGAGTAGTAGTGCAAAGAGAATGGTGCAAAGGATTAGACAGGGGATTTGGCTCTGGGTTGAGGGGTCTGTAGTATGGGGATAGGTTGGGACCCCTTGTACTGAACTGTGGAGGAAAAAAAAAGTACGGAGCTGGAGGTGCCGCCTTCACTTCACAGCAGATGAGAAACTGCAGTGGAAAATCTTTCTCTGCTCCCACATGAAGAAGGAGGATTCTCTCAGTTCACCCACCTGACAAGGAATGAATGATCAAGAAAGATATTTATGGAAACCTACGTTAAGATGAAACTTCAAGGGAAAAGGGCACAATCATCAGTGTCACTGACAGGCGGGTAGAAGAGGATGGAATAGAAATCCTCACTTTGTTGCAGGCTTGGAGCCCTGCAGGGGCTTGTTAGTAGATAACCAGTGCATCCTCAGCCTGTGACTCTGGCTCTGTTCTTCAAATTAGGTATCTACCATTGCCTAAGAACTGTGGGTCCTTCTTCCAGGTTTCAAGCCAGGCAGTGGTAGAGAAAAGGCAACTTTTTGTCATGTCTCTGTTCTTGTGTTGAGGGATATGCATGAGAATGCTGTGCTCGCCTTGGTGAGCTTCTGTGTGGTATTACTTGCTTGTAATACCACAGATTCACTTGGGGGTGAGTGGCTTCTGTAAGACCAAGGGCCAGCCTAGGGTGGATGTTGGGGGAACAACTGGCCTTCTCACCCTTAAATTTTAATTTGAAATTTCACTTAAGTTTAGTCTGTACATAGCTGTTGGGTGAGTCAGGAAGACAGCTAGGGGTGAGGAGCCAGTACCCCTCAGACGACACCCACTGGAGCTTCTCCTTCCCCCACACAGTAGTGTAATTTCCTGATCCCTTAGGATTTGCCTGAATCCAGCACCTGGGGGACGAATCACTGAACGGTGGAGGAGGCAATAATAGGAAGGCAGAAGTACACAAAAGAAGGGTTCTCTTGTCTGTGTCCTACACTGTGAAGGCAAATGCTTTTGTATCAAGATTGTCTTCAGCCTTGCAAGTGTTTCAAACATGCGCTGGCAGCTGGAAGTAAAAAACCAGAGTGATATAAACCCCACTATTCACACCATTAGCTGGGGCTGGCCAGAGCAGTTCACTGAAATCAGAGCAAACATGTTGGACTTGCAGGATGAGCTGCTATAACACGTGCTTGAGGACCAAACTGCACACTATCTCCACTAGAAAGCATAGCAGTTGGGTTCATTGACAGAAGATGTGATAGGATGTGCACCATTTTGATGCTTTGTTCCCTTTGCCTGTTTTCATGTACACCAACTGAAGCTCTTGCCCAACATTCATGATGCTTCTCTGGAATGGGCTGTAGCTGCTGGGGAGACCAGCAGCAGAGAAAGGGGATAACCTTGTGTAATGGTGTGTTTGACACAACTGTCAGCCCGCCTGGAAAAAGAACCATGATTCAAGGATTGGTGAGAGTAAACTGCAGCCACTTGTATTGTATCAAACTCATTTGGGTAATCTTTTTATTGCCTTTTCTAAGAGGATGAATTCTTGAACCAGATGCCATTAGGGGCTAGCTATAGGATTAATAGTGCAGTTTGGATCTTGCTGGGTTCTGAGAAATACGTTGCTCTGCATGGTTTCCAGGTTGCAACTGGCTTTGATCTGTGCAGATATCTGCCCAGGAAAGAGCTTGGTAGATCATGGACTTGGGCTGAGCTTAGCATCCAGTCATGGACAGAAACACCATGGTGAGGCAGCTGAAGCTGTTCATGACAGTGAGATGGGCCATTACTCCAAGGCTGTGGTTCCTCACCCAGTGGGGAGCAGTTTGTGCACAGTGCTTCCTGCCTCTGGCCTTCCCAGCACTTGTGTGGCTCTTAATATTTCCTGCTTGAGCAATAAGGGTTTATGGCCCTAGCCTTTGTGGTTGATTAGAGCCCAAGTTTGTGCTCCTGTTTTAATCAGTGCTCATTTACCTTTGGCATCCTTCAGAGGAACAGAATGGTATGTCTTTCAGTTGCCATGGAAACAGTGAGACTAAATGCACATTTCCATGGCAACCTGCCATTATCTTCAGCTCTATCTGTGGGTCTCATTTTCTGACCATGGGGGTGGGGTGGTGAAAATGGAACTTCATCTCTTAAAAAAAAAAAAAAAAAAAAAAAAAGGAAAAGAAAGATGCCATGAACATCACCACCCCCTTTCTTCCTCTGGCTCAGGCTTGGGGTTGAGAGAGGCCTGTGACTACTGCTGCCATCCCATGTGCTGGGGCTCTGAGGCATTGTCTTCAGCTCCTTCTTTCCTTCACCCTTCTAAAAATAGAGATGTTCTGAACAATTTGATGACAGTGTTCCAGCACTTCTCTGAGCTCTTTGTTTTCTCAACTAATGCTCCCAGAAAAGGTCCTTGAAGTTAATTGAACTTTCCAGCAGGTTCCAAAGGTCAGTATGTCCCAGCTCCTTTTGGTCCGACAGGCCAAGGGTTAATTACAGGGCCTAAGACTCCAAGGAGAAGCCTTTGTCTGCTGGGACTGGAGGCACCAGGGCACATCACATTAATGTCAGGAGCAAGGGACCTTCTTGCAAGAGGGGCAGCATGGTTGTACCTATCAGAGAGTTAGGGATCAAAGGCAATGCTTACCTGGTTTGGGTGTGACTGATGGGATGCAGGGCAGAGAAAACAGGTGTTTTCTGTGTGATGGATCTTGTAGCCCCCTGGCCAGAAGTGCTCTTGGCCACTGCTAATATCTCTGCCTTCCCCAACCACTGAGTCAAAAAAAGGACACAATCTGCTGTACTCTGAGCAATTGCACACAGCTGTTCCTTAAGCTTTTGTTCATTATTCTTGTTCTAGCTGGCTTGACCTTTAGCTAATTCCTCTTATTCATGGTCTAATCTTGGTTACTGAGGGGAAAAAGCTTGTGTCTTGCACTGTTCTAGCCTGATGCAACAGAGTCATCCATGGAGAGGATGTGGTAGAGTTCTCCTTCCACATCTGTCCTGCTAGCCTTTCACAGGTGCTGAGGCAGAGGATGATAAAGCTCTGTCTGCTCAGGAGTTAGCATGGAGGCAGATGCGGTCTTCAGAACAGGTCAGCTAGGTGAGGCAGGTGCTGCTCAAGCACAACTCTTTTCCTTGCTGATCACACCTGACAGCAAGCTGTGACAGTCAGCCTGGGTTTGTGTTGTCTCATCAAGGGGAAAACAAAGACCAGAGAGCCCTGCATGTTGCTGAACTTGCAGGATTTCACCCTGGAAGAATTATTGCCTGGACACACTACCAGGGTTTGGCTGGGACCTATTGCTCAGAAGACATAGAGAATGGTCTCTGAGAGGTGGGGAGCTCCCTCCTGAACTAAGGTGTCAAGGTGGGGACAAACTGTGCGTTAGTCTGCATGGGCAGAAGTTTGGTAGAGGATGTGCTGCTGGTGCTGCACCAGGCTAGCTTGGCTCCATGAGGTGCTATGGCAGAGGGTATGGAAGAAGGTTTGCTATACATGCTCTGTGTGTGAAGCAGGGGTTGCTCTCTGGCTGCTGGAGGGAGCTGACCTGGTGCCGGCCAGCCTGAGAGCAGGGACAGCCTGGGCTCTTCCTGCTGAGGACTGCTGCGGGCTTGTGCCATGGGCTAGAACCGTAAGGAGGTTTGCCTGCAGGCTCAGTCATAGCCCTGCTGCCGTGGTTTGCAGAGCTGCACAGCCAGGTGGCTTTAGGCTCTTGCCTTCGTGTCTATAGTAGCTGAGCAGGCATTGACTGAGGGAATGACGTGGCCCCTCATTCAGCTTCTCCTTGGCACGCAGGGTCAATTCTCCTTGCCAGCATCCTGTGCTGTGTCCAGGCAAGGGTGGCCATGCTCCGGCCAGCGCAGCTGGCAGGCTGTGTGGCAGACTTCCCTTCACCTCCCTGCCTACCCACACATGCCTGCCATAAATTTCAGACCTGGAAGAATCATGTTAAATATAGAAACTTTTCAGGGAAGAGCTAATAGTGTTAGAAAAAGAGAATTCAGGAGCTGCCTTCGGTGACAAAGGCAGAAATAATGGGATGATGCTATCGTTAACAGAACTTTATCTACCACGTGATAAGCACGTG